TTTTTCCGCGTTTATCTCCGTTTTTTGTTTGTTTCTTGTTTTTCTTTATCTTCGTTTTCACTCTTCTCTCCTTTCTGGGTCTCCCCTTTGCCTCTTTACTCTGTTCTTTCTTATCTGTGTTCTCTTTTGTCCTTAGCTTTGTTTTCCCTATTCTCCCTTATCCGTGTTTTCTCTATCCTCCTATTTTTGTGATTTCTGTTCTCTGTGCTTTTTCTGTTATCTCTTGCTATCTCTTATCTCTACTGTTTTTTTCTCTTTTCCCAGTTCCTTTTCCTTCTGTTAACGGCCAAGTCGCTCAACAGATAACAGAGATCGCTCCCGCATCTCGCTACTCAGATGCCCTCGAGAGATAAGTCCGTTCTCGTTCTCGACGCGGGTTTCTTCCCAATAGACGGGAGGGCGGGCTCATGCCTCGCCTCTGCCCTCGATAAATAACGAAGTCCTTTCTCGCGCCCTTGATCGGACGCCGCCGATAGATAAGAGAGCGGCGCTTATCGCTGACAGATTATAGTCATAATCTGAGCGCTAATGTTTCTCTCATCGGAGGCGGCCACGCCCTCCGTGCCCCCGTGGGAGCCCTAAATATGGAGCTCCTTTCTCGCCGCTGCTCTCGCGGCACGGGCGCCCTGCCCTTGGCACGGGAGGGGGCAGGGGGAGGGGGAACGGTGGGGAGAGGGGTAAAAAAGTGTGGGAGAGAGGGTAGGGGGAAAGAGGGGGAGGTAGGGGGAGGGGGAGGGGCGAAAAGGGTGAGAGGGGTCAGAAGGAGGGGTGAGAGGGAAGGGAAGACAAGGTGAGAAGGAAGAGGAGGGGAAGGGGAAGGGAGGGGGAGGGGAGTGAGAGCGGAGGGAAGGGGGGAGGGCGGGAGTGAGGGCGGGGGGAGGAGAAGGGGTGGGGACGGTCGAGGGAAGGGCGGTGGGTGCGAGGGTGGGCAGGGCAAAGGTGGGCAAGGTGACGGCGGGGGGGGGGGGGTGAGTTACTCACTTAAATCGCAGGTTTGAATATGGATCTTAGGCCCAGTTCTTAGAAAGGCAATACACTCAACCTTCTGGCACTTTCAATGGTTCCAGACGTAAAACTAAACACTTTTATTCCTTTCTAGACATCATCAACTTTTCCTTCTAGAACTAATTCATGTATTTTTTAAATGAAGAAAAAACACACAATTGTACGTTTGGTACATTTATATCTTGTGCCGTATTTTGCATCGGCACATGTAACTACTACGGAATAATATAAAAGCCTTTCATTAATTCCCCAATTATTTTATGCATTTAACAGTGGTCAGCCATTTCTCCTGTTGCAGCCGACGTCGGAACCGACATTCTCTCGTTAGTCAGGTCAGTCCAAGGCCTCGCTCAATCGCTGAAGGTCAGGTCACTCAACGCCACGCAACGCACGCTCACTGGCCACGTCGCTTATCTGTGCCACTGAACAGAAGCTCCGTGGTCAGGTCACTTAGTTTTGTCACTGTACACGGATAGGGAGGTCAGGTCGCCTATTTTTTCACTGTACGCGGACAGGAAGCTCGAGTCGCTTATTTTTTCACTGAACACGAGATCTGTGGTCAGTTCACTTCAGTAAGGTAACGTATAAAGAGTGCAAGGTCACGTCGCCTTTTTCTGTCACTGTCCACATGGTCGGGTCACTATTTTCTGTCACAGTACACAAGTTCACGGGTCAAATCACTATTTTCTGTCACAGTACACAAGTTCACGGGTCAAATCACTCATATTTGTCACTATAAACAGTCAGATCATATATTTCTATCGCAAATGTCTAAGATTAGATTACAAGTTTTCCCACTATGAATGACTCCATAAGATTTCACTGGCCGCCTCACTGTCTACAATCATTTACCCAAAGTGATGTAATTTTTTGGCACTGTACCCAACCTTTAATGGTCAACCCTCTCGGTCGGCATTATGCACAAGGTCAGATCATTTAACTCCCACGAATACAGGTCATGTCATTTCGTTCACTCGTGTTGTTAGTCGGTACGATTTTCAAATATATCTTTCTCATATCAAAATTTTCTTTCTTTCTTTTCGGTCTTGCAGGTCAAGTCATATCGTTTCCTCACAGGTCAAAAATCCAACGCCGGGGTCATTCTTCTCCCAGATGATGGGTCAGGGTCGAGCGTCACCTTCTGGAGTCACGTCACAGTTGCATAGTCGGAGGTCATGTCAGCGCTGCGGAGGAGAGACAAGTCATGTTAAAAGGCTGGTCGAAGTTCAGTCGCTTTTGGTGACCTCGAGACTGATCTGTCCACACGCACACATGCAGACACATCCGACACACCCATACATACAAAGACATATTTTTGAATGAACACGCACACACACACACACACACACACACACACACACACACACACACACACACACACACACACATATATATATATATATATGGAGAGAGAGAGAGAGAGAGAGAGAGAGAAGGAGAGAGAGAGAGGAGAGAGAGAGGGAGGGGGGGGAGGGAGGGGTGGAGGGAGGGAGGG